ACACACGACGAAATCACCCAAACCAAGGTACGTACGTGATGATCAAACATCCGGTCATAGAGCTGGAATATTGGTTACATTTCTTCCCAATTTATCATGACTTCTCTCCCCTTAATAAACATTAGTTATTTGACTGTGATGTATCAGCCTGTAGATTAATCACCGCAAAAATCATCTTGTTCGGATTACTATGATGTTCAAATCATTCTAATTCCTATTCACGCCAGTTGATCAAACTGACTCAGGTTCACTTACCCTGTATGTCAGTTTTCTTTCTCCTGTGAGTAATGGAGGATTTGATTCAATTTCAAAAAGTAAATTTGTCGTGTATATGACAAATGAAGCGTGAACTGAAAAGCTAAGAAGCACTGGACAGCTGTTTTGACCTGGTTGGGTCTCATCATCCATCCATCGAACCCGGGCCCTCATGGGCAGAACGCAAGCAAGCTACCCACTCCGCCACCGGGAGGCTGATGGGTTGTGCTATATCGTGTAAATAGAAGATGAAAAACGGTCTAATCAGCTACCCGGTGGCCGAACGGGTAGCATGTTTGCGTTCTACTCATGAGGTCTGGGGTTCAATCCCCAGTTGGGCCGATGGATTCGCACTGCTGATGAGACCCAAACATATCGGAAGAGCTGTCCAGTGGTTCCTAGAATATTTATTTCTGTCGCATGCTATTTGGGATGGGAAAAAGGATTAAACTTTCAGGAAATAAGAAAGAGCATTTGCAAATCCCTGGCATTCATAGTGACACGTTCTATAAAACTTCTATCTCATCAATTTGAACAACCATCCATGATGCACGTTTCGCGCAACGGTTTTGGTTACTGTCTTCTTGCTACCCTTTGGAATGAAGCGCCACGGGGGAATATTGGAATTTTGAAAGCAATTTCAAGGTGAAACTAGCGAATTCATATTGATTGAGGTTACGAAGGATTTTACCAGCTGCACGGGCGCCACCATTTGCGACACTCAGGCTTTCCACTCTAACCATCCCGGGACCTGCAAACAGGATGTCCAACGCGGCTTATATCAGCACGTTTTCTCTTCAGAGTTTTCACATCCTAATTCCCTGCCTTAGTTGAAGCATCCTCTACTTTTCTCCATCCGACAGAAATCCCGTGCCATATTAATCTTAGTATGGTCATGCGTAACAAATGCACCAATCAACAGAAGTCCACTGCATAATCAAATTGGATCACCGCAATCACCTAAAACTCTGTTCCTAACCTCCGCAATGCTTGTCCAGTTGTCCCATCACACTCCGGCAAGGCTGCCTAGAGATCGATTTTCGACAACCGACATTCACTCTGTATCCTGTTTTCGTAATGGCCACGTCTCTGCGCCTTATAGCGGAGCCGTTGTGCCTTATACTTAATCCGTCACGTATCAACTAGACAACCCAGTCCCATGGGAAGTAAAATGAAGCTGGATACACTTACAATAATACCCGGACCTCCTGATGTGCAAAAAGTATAGTTTTAGAATGGTGATACAACGATGGACAGAGATAAAAGTAGTGAACTCAGATTCATGTTTACAATGAAGCATCAACGGAAGTTTAAGAGATTGCAATACCACAAATGGTAAGTGCTGGCGTTCAAGTATTCTTGAACTGATCTAAAACTCAAGGTTCCGTCCTTTATACTATGGGATCCAAAAGGTCTGTGGAGAAACATGGAAGTTTGCTTTCCTAGTGAATTTAAACGTATGCTGATCAGTACATATTTAGGGCTCATTTACCTGGTAGTGCATTTCATCTTTTTTCTATTGAAACTCGAACTCACGAGAAATTCCCTGCATCAATCACTAGAACTATTCAGAAACTAGGTACAATGACTTTATATATTTAAAATACTGGTTGCACTTTATCCATCGCATCAAGACCGAAAGAAGACACATGTTGTGATATGTTAACATCTTATCTACTCTCCTCAGTCGATGACATAAACAAATAGGCGTATATGTATGTTTAACACATTCGGCCGGTACTTCTTAGTGAACGAATGTGCGCTGACAGTTATATCCAGAGAGAAATTACCGAAAAGTCACATGGAGTGGACAGTTGTGCTCTACCAATAAACATAACCTCGAGCGCTGCCTTCTACGCAGAATGCAAGGTGCATCTGTTTGGAAGATACTTTGAAAAATGGACTGGAAATAGTGTGGAGACATATCCTAGAAAATGGTATTTCTCAGAAGTTTATTGGCCGTAGTTAGAACGATTAAGTAACCAGATCGGAGAAAAAGGGTCTATTTGACAAACTTTTATTCAAAAGAAATGCCGCAGTAGGATTCACCTTTAACAGCATCTAACTAAGGAGTGTGTTCCCTAACTTTCACAAGGGGCAATGGTTGCTCATTTGATGGAGAATGGACATGAGTTTGATCCGCACAATCATTTTTGCAAGCCACATCTCACCTCTCGTGAGCGATTCAAGTTGGTATGATATTAGTCTCAGAATCGATTGGCATCCGTTTTGTAAAGTCTTAATTGTGAAAACAATAAAATTTGAAGGAAGGAAGAGAAAATCGCTTGTGCCTATATTGTGGATATTGTACTCCGTACTTGAGAAAAGTTCAAAGTTTTATTATGATTATCCGTTTACTGAACCCGCTTCGAAAAATAGTGCCTGTATCTTAGCCGAGTCAAACGTTGGCCCAGTGTCATCATCGCTTAAATTTTTCCATTCCGAATTTCCAAGTAGCTCATCGTTCTAATACTGATTCTCCTGCAGGGATTCTCTACCAATAATTGAGTAGCATCGGATTCAGAGCTTATCCTCCTCTTATTCTGAACCGAAAGTCACACGACCGATCGGGTTCATTTATCGATCGGTCTGATGGTTCAGCCGCCACAAGGGACCTGGTACTTGCTCAGCTAACCAGAGCGAGTAAACACACTTTGTTTACAGCCGTGAGTCTCAAGAAGGCCCGGTGAAATTCGACTGTACAGCAGGCGCACCATAACCACACGGATGAACTGCATGCGACAACACGGGCAACACACAAAGTCCAAGTCGGTATTCAGACAGTCTCCTGTTGGAGTGAGGGATTCCAAGTATCGCAAATCGCGGAAAATGATCCAATCAGATCACAGAAAGGGTCAGATGGAATTTACTTGTGAGAGGGACAAGACAAGATGAAACGATGGAGCAATCGCACTGTAATTGATGCAAACACACCCATATAACCACCTAGTGCCAGGCTTGGCAGCATTCATTCATTCGCATGAGCACAAATGCATTGATATTATTGGTTGTCAAAAACTCTCTGAATTACCCTACAGGTATATCAGTTTCAAATTCAGTTTAAATAAGCATTAAGCATGCATTTCCGTGCGATGCTTTTGGTTNCTTTTGGTTGCTGTCTTTTGGCTACCCATTTGGGTGAACAATAGGAGGAAAACAGGAAGCTTGAAAGTAGGATTAAAGAGAAGATTGAGAAGTTCGGTGGACTAATGATGGAGAGAAGTTGAGAAGATGCACGAAGGCCACTGTTTACCACACCCAGCCATATCACTCAGTGTTTCTAACCATCGGTGACCATCACCCCGAAGTCCCCAATCAGGGAGCCTGACCCAGAATTCATATCCTCATGCCAGGTCTTCGTTTGACCACCCTTGCCTTTATTCCACCCACTACCTGCCTCGGCCAACATTGCTCGTCGTGGTAACCTATTTGGTGGCTTGTGTACCACTTGTCCCATCCAACCTAACTATGGAGTTTGACCACTTGCTCCAGTGGATATGTACCCAAGTGCTACCCAGAAAACTATCTATAAATATATCTGATCCATTCACACACAAGGTCAGAATCTCATGAATAGATCTTGAACATCATCTCGGATTGGGAACATTTATCCAAAATAGTCCCCAATGTCCACGTGCGCTTAGGCCTCATTAACCATTGTCCATTGTCAATTTTCACACTTGAGCGAACCTGATCACTGGGATCATGACCGAGGCATTTCGCCCCATGTATACGGTTTGGAGTGCACAGTCGAACCGGATTCGATGTAGGATAATAGTCACACCCTCTGCAAGCCCCAAAACAATTTGTGTAGGTGCTTAAGCTTCCTGTGTCCACTCCTTAGCCCCCCCCCTCCCCACACATACGTCCCGAATAATCTTAGTTATTGGAACAACAAAAAACGTGTATTCAAAGTGATTCTCTCATTCGGTCGCAAAATGACATCGGCCCCGCAACTAATGCTATATATATTGTGGTGTATTGCCTTGACTGCACATCCTTGAGGACCAACTTTTTGTTGCATGTTCTCAATTTCTTTGCAACATTGGTTCACTGAAATTCTCCATATTTTCTTCTACTCTACTCTCAACTTTCCCGTCTTTCTCCTAATGTCCGTCCAAATGGGCAGCCAAAAGATAGCCACGAAAACCGGTGCACGAAAGTGCATGGTTAATGGTCGTACGAACTGAACTGAATTGAGCTGAACTTGTTCGACACAGCGTTTTGTTATATTTGACCATCTCTTTGTTTCAGTGGCATTCTGGATCACTGTTTCTTCCAAATTGTCGCCAATTCAGCCGTTCTTTATGCTTTTCTTTGTCCAGTCCCAAATTTCTGTTCCCTCATCGTGCACTTGGTCTAGCGGGGTGTTGATATCCAAAAATTGTAAATTCTTTCTACCATTTAGCTCAGTGGTAAGGGTTTGACGTCCTAAACCGAGTCCTAACAAGGACACAGAAAGTAGGCACTGCCAAAGAGGCCCAAACAAGAAGAAACAGCTGTCCAAAGCTCTTTTTCGGTTATCACAAACATTTCTATTGCCTGTAAATGCATGAAATAGTGGGGACTTAACGGTCTCCCAAGGAGTGAAGCCCACACCCACAGCCTGGTGCCTCCTAAAAAACGAGTGGGCTAATCCGAGTTTACTAATCTAACAATTGCAAATCTGGTTCAACAGAATGCCTATGTTAAGGGACACCAAATAAATAAGTCAGTTACAATTCTCAAGCAACGCTTAGACCTACCTCATGAGGAAGACGTGGACAAATAAAACGTCGACCACAAGCAACAATCATGGGATTTTCAGTTTGAGCTAGACAAGTGGGCCACTCTTGCAAAAGGCTGAGATAATCAGGAATCAGTTTGACCAATTCCGAATTCTTCATCATTTCCATATCGCTCGTGTCGAGCATGCCTATGCGAATGCATAATAGCAAATCGAGGGCGTATTGCAAACGCAATTTCGGAGCCACATTGACCCAAAGTACAACCGCGTCAAACACGGTTTTCTCACGCTTACAATTTAATCCGTCCTCTTGCAATATGCGCCATACATCAATTGCTTCGAGTTGTTGAAACTCCGGAGAAGGCCAGACAATCTCAAAGTTTTCCAACAATTTTTGAAATGCCATTGTTCCAACCTCGGGCCAGTACAGGGTGCGACAACTGAGCCACAAAGCGATAGCTGTGGCTGGATCATTGGCCACATCTTTCAGCAAGTTTGCACACTCTTCTTTGAGCTTCGGGACCAACAAATAGTCGGCCGCGATAAAAATGTGATAGACATTATCCGGGGTGAGCTCCGTAGTCCCTTTCCGTATAAATTCCAGTACGGAGGCAAAACCGGAGTTGAGAAATTCCGGCAACCGTATGTACCCACGACCTTTATGATAGCGAAGTAATCGTTCAAAGTACATGCTTTGTTCAGCCAATTCCACGGCCACAATACTATGAATGTCTCCGGATTCCATAAATTCAACAGCACGATCACAAAGAAAATCAGTATCACTGTCCAGCGAATTTGGATTTCGTTCGATACGAGCATTATGAAACGGGACGCTGGAATTGCGTCTGCGTGAACCGGCATTGTCGAGCGAAGAACGTCGACTTTCGCGCTGTCTCACATCACTTGTGGGCCGCCGCATAGCGCGCACCAGAAATGAGGTTCAAGGCTGCCACGCAATCCGTGCCGATCTAGTTGGTTTTGGCCGAACAGATGATTACTATTTCAAATGCGACCGCAATCAATCAATACAAGGTCGTTTAAAGAAGTTTGCAGAGTTGTTGCACGTGATTCACATGACAATGAGAGCCAAAACATCTCAACTGAACCTTTACTAACTCTGTGATTTTTTAATACTATCAAATAATTTTCACACTATCAACCAGTATGGATTCATACCGATCACAGTGTCACAACTCAAGGCATCACATTCCAAGGGAGCAATATCTTTCCACTAATAGTTCCGCTTAAACCTAGTTGACGTTTTATAAATTCGACAACTACGAAAGTTGTTCATCCGATCACTTACCTAAAATCTGCAAGTATGATAAAATATTAAAACAGAGAAGCTGCCGTTCACTGCTTTCACCAGTGAGTTCTATGTTGATCATATAACGTCAAAAATACTCCTAAACAAACTGGTTTCAATAGAATTATCGAGCTTAATGCGGTGATCCAGACTTACGTGACAGCATTCCGAGTACAATCAGGTGCAGCTTCATGTCACCCAATCACCGTTCAGGAAGCTCGGCCAATCGTACACCGGGAGAACATGACATCCGAGTTACTAAATGTGATGTGTCTGCACAAACAGTTACGTGATTGGACGCCGGTCCTTCAACCAATGATGTGGCCTATTACCCTCTATAAAACATGCTCTAATTCTATCAATAAACATAGGCATTTTCTGTTATCAATTCATCCTGTATTTCATTGGTGTCCGCAGCTCGGGTTGGAGGCAATCCAGTTCTGAGCATTACAGTACGGGTTTTCGTATTCTGATATTCAATACTATTATGATTATCACATTTAAGCAAATCAGAAACGATAGCACAACGATTGTACGAAGTGTAATCGCAACTGGTAGATGATTAAGTGAAAGGTCCGTAATTTGAAACCCAGCAGTACCACTCAAATTGTTTAGGTATAATGGCAATCCGGCATCAAACGGAGGTTTTCGCATGCTGTTACAGATATTCATCTTTTGCCGTTATACAGCACACACACACAAAATCTAAAGAGGAACACGTGAATGAATAGAGATGTCTGCGTCCACACAGTTATGTAAAAACATGTGGTTCTCGCATACCTATTAAAACTAGTGGTTCATGGAACCTAATATTGAGTAAAATATTGTGAACTACAGAATAAAAGTAACTTCATATTATGATTATGATTATAAGTGAAACCAAAAGCACAGGCTTGCTCAATATATCCTAGATCATTTCGTTGCATCTGTACACGTGTATACTGCAGTTTATGTGGTCATTAATACATGTTCATGGGTCTCTGCTGTGTGATCCTTGCATACGGGATGACGCAAAGCACGGGGNNNNCAACTGTGATGAATCAAGCTTCCCAGGTGATGCCAGCACAGTGCGGTATTGCCTCTGGACATCGAATCAGTCTCTATGGTCAGTCCGTTGGAGCTCATTCTCGTGGACATCTTGAACGTCAACTACGGGACGAAATTGAAAAACTGAACATATACTACCGGTATGTCAATGACATGGATTCTCTGGGATGTAAAGGAAGAGACAGAGAGAGACTATTTGAACGCTTGAATAAACTTCACCCAAGAATAAGGTTGATATGCCATACTTAAATGTAAGATAGTATCGATGCGGAAGTTTCACGTCGAAGGGATGGATCAATCAGAAGATCTATGTACCGAAAGGATACATGGTCTGAACAATATCTCTATTTTGCTAGCTTTGCTCCAATGGAATATAAGATATATACCCGAAAGAATTCATCTCAAGGCACTTCCAACTCAACTGTACCCGGGAAAAGACACCAGGTGTAGAGAAGATGAGAGTGGTCCTGTAAATGCTCTTCAAGGCTAATGATATCAGCTAGCTAATTACCAAGCGCCTAATATCGGCGGTTAGGAGCACCTACTACGCGGCTGATCCAACCGTTGTTTTTACAACCGCCCGTTGCCAATACCCTCGGTGAAAGAACCGCTGTCTCCCCACACCAAATCCAATTGTATCGATCAGTTCAAGTGTGGATGCTCGGCCATCTATGTCGGCAGAACGGAGAGAGAACCACGTCATCGAGTAACCGAGCATATCCCGATTTGGCTTTAGTGAGTGGGAACTTCGGAAATATGACGTCACCGATGACCCTTGGGAAACTCAGTTCATCGATCACACAACATCTGGTCGAAATGAAGCCGTGTGTCATGCTGCGCGACGCGTTCAGAATCCTCTACAGCACAAACAACACCAAGGTTCTGAAATAAGCCGAAGCATTGGACATTCAAAATTACCATCCCCAACTGTGTAAACACCGTGAATGGCTTATCAGGTGACCTTGTTGACAGCCTTGGGTCTAGCAGACCCAGTGATCCTCAACTGTGCATAAAAGGAGTATCATCATCACCCGGACGGATTACGGGCCACAACAAGAGCATCACAAACATTACGAACGGGTGACCAGATAGTCTGGTGTCAGGTTGAGCGATTTCACGTTGCCTAGATCGCGGAACACGATCCAATCGGATCGCTTAGAGGGTCAGAAAAAAGTACCGTATTTTTCGGACTATAAGGCGCACAGAAAATCCCTATAT